GCTGGGCAGGAAAGTGGCCGGGGGGGGAGTGGAAGCAAGCAGGAGCACGGGACCTGCACCAGTGTCCCAGGGCCAGCACCAGCGGGGCCCAGAGCAGGGCAGCAGGAGTGCAGGGCATGGGCTGGCAGGGGTCTCTGGAGCCAGGCTGGGTTACACCAGGAGAGAGAGGGGGGAGCTGGCCCAGCTCCACAGAGCCCCTGCCAGCCGGGACCCCACTCCTACTGCCCTGCTGGCACAGGCCCCTCACTCCCGCCTGGCTGCCACTGGCTCCTGCACGCCCATTTACTCTCAGTGCCCCCACTCCAGCCCCATGGTAAAGGTGAGGAGCAGCAGGCAGTCCCAACCCCACGCTCATCTGCAGTGAACAAGCTGGTGCTCAGCACAGGGGAAAAGCACCCCCCCGGGGGGCAGGGCCCCATGCTGCAACCACTCGCAGCCCATGCGGGGCTGTTCTGCCTCTCTGCAACAAGAGCAAGCACAGGTAGCCCTGCAAAGGCTTCAAGAGGCTGCAGCGTGGGGCGCCAGCTGCAGGTAAGGGGAGCGGCCACTCTTCCCCTGTGCTGAGCACCAGCTTGTTTCCCACCGCCGCTGACAGACTGGGCCCTGCACCAGCTCTGGGCTCATCTTTGACAGGAAGCAGGGGCAGTTAAATACTAATTCTCTAAATTTTTTAGGGCCCCCGTAGGCTGGCTAGAATGGCCTGGCGGGCCAGATCCATCCCACGGGCTGTATTTTACCCACCCCTGCATCAGCCTTAGCAGCTAAGCAAATCAGTTTGACTTATTTTCCACCTCTCCGCAGCAACAGCATGAGCAAGGTTAAGTACAAATTTTGGGTTGGAAAATACACTGAGAACAGATATTTTCTTGGCACTGGCCACACTTCCATATTACTCTTGCCTGAGTCTCACTGGAAAAAACAGCAAAAGCTACACCAGGGAACAGGGTAAATGCCACAGGAGTACTCTCTCCTATAACATCTGGCAACTGACAACAAGGCAGGCAAGGTGGCAAAACAGCTAGATGACTGGAAACATTTCCAGTCCTCCACTGCCTCATCCCTGATGGGAGACAACACACATGCTGCCCAGGCTAAAAGTGGGCTTGACTACTTTTCCTAGCTGTCTGCAAACGTATGTGCAACCCCCATAGGGAAGGATGACGGAAAAAGGCTCCAAACCTTACTAATAGCAATAGCACTGCAGATAAAACTAGGACAAGGAGCCTGTGGCCAGACCACCTGGGATTGCTCTTTACCACAAAATGAAGCACTTTTGGATTTTGTAGCAATTAATCTGTTCCACTTTCTTCTTTTTCCTTACCTCCCAGTGTTAATGACAAGAAATTATGGATAAATCACCAAAGAGGGATGCAGAGACAATAAAACTGATCAGATAAACCAACCAAGATGGTTAAGTGCAGGTCTCACTACCTACAGGCCATAAATCTTTACTAGTAGTAGTAATGCATCCTCCTTTTCTGAGCAACAGTGATTAGTTTTGCAATGTACAGCGCCTAAGACAGATGCAACAATAACTTTGAGAGCTAAAAGCATACCTGCTGAGAGTGCAGACTTCCTTCAAGGTGATGCCATGTTGGGATGCAAATGTCCATCAGCATTTAGGAACTCCTGAACCCTGCAAGTGTTACAGAACATAATTAATTACAGTGACACTGGATAAAAACACTTGGGCAGGTTACACCCAGCCACATTTGCTAGGAGCAAGAGCAAGGCAAGACTCCAAATTTAATAAGAGTCTCCTCTACAGTCCCCATTTTACTCATGGAGACATGGAATTGGTCAAATAACTTGCTAAAGACTAGAAAGGGAGCCAGCACAAGAGCCTAGATTACTGCTGCACAGCTCGTGGCCTCCAGACCAACACTTGCTCTGCTGGGTAATGCTTCCTCAATAGTCAAGGTCACAAAAAACCCAAAGTCTAAGCAATTATACAAAGTAATATCAAACACTCCACAGACACTAGTACCCCTTTATCCTTGCTAAATACATTCTCCCTCTCTGTAAAGAACGTAAGCCTTTCTAGGCTTTGGTAGCATGTTTTCCAGTGGATTTTGAATGCACTCACATGCCTTTCAATACTAGATAGACTTGTCGCTTCTATTTGATTAGATACAATACATTGGCTTTGTTTCTGTCGCTGTATACAATTTTTTGCACATTAGTCATACAGAAGAAGTCTAGCAGCTCTGAGCAGAAGGTGAGACGGTTTAAATTGGTTTGCTGACGGTGGAAATGCATATTGACAATGCTTGAAGCACCAGATACACACTATAGAAGAGATCTTAAAAACAAGATGTTTCAGTAGTTACAACTGTCCCAAGTAGAGATGTTTTTCTTTTTTGATTTTTTTTTATGTGAGGAAGTGGGGGGAGGGAGGGAAGAAGAATGCCCCATTATATCCAAGGTTGAATCAAGAGATATTAAAGCAAAAAATGGTTAATACCAAGTTTTGCTCTTCCAGTTGGAAGTTCTGGTCCATCCACAACAATTGCCTTCAGCTGTTTTTCCACACTAAAGATTTGAATTTGGAAAAGAGGAGAGAGAGTGGGAAGAACTTTTAGTGGAATATATTACGCTGTATTGAAAAATTTTAAACGCCTGAGTGCAAAGTTGCAGTCACAATGCTCCACAAGGGTAAAGGAACTTGATTATATCAAAACTGAACAACGAGGTCAATCCAAGGATTTGCAATTTATTTCCTGTGTCTTGAGCCTTCTTATAAAACAGCAGGAAGACAGTGTATTTACAGAATGTTTTGGTTTGCCTTTGACTCTGAATAAGAAGTCTCCTAATTCCCTGGTCTTTGATTTTGAATCATAGCCTCCAGCTATCACTAGCCAGTGTTTTAGAGCATGTGTATGCAAGCGCAGAGGATGCTCCAATGTAGTGTAATTACAGCATGTCTGCTGGAGCATGGCAAAGTGTGCAATTAATCGAATCTGCTGGAGCATGGCAATGACCGCGCTCCAACAGCCTCACACGTCTTGTGTATCAGTGTCTCCACGCTTCAAAATGGTGGCGGGGCATTTGAACTAAAGTTTGTTGAACGAGCTTTAGTTCAAACACCCCCACCACCATTTTGAAGTGTGGGGACACTGATATGCAAGATGCTGCAGTGCTTTAATTAGAGCAGCTCTCCAAGCTGCTCTAATTAAAGCACCACCCCCCAGCCCCCAGAGCACATGTAAAAGTGCCCTTAAAGACTAACTACAAACTCTCCCTCTTCCTGAAGGAGGGTGTTTGTATCCAAAAGCTTGCAAAGAACAAATTTTCCAACTATTTGGTTGGTCTAATAAAAGATACCAGATTTACCCAAAGAACCTTGTCTGCTTAAAGACTAACAAGAACTTAGTCCATTCAACCCTCTTTTCTTCCCCCATTAATAAGACCTCAGTTACAGAAGTATTTTCAAGGATTAAAATGGTACTGAAAGCCACCAGACAGTACAGTCAGTATCCAAACCTCATGAACAAACTTTCCATTCCCATTTATAATCACTACCCTCTCTGCTTTAAATTACCACCATAACCAAAACAGGAAAGTTACTTACAGAAAACTGCCCAAACTCTACACCCCTGGGAGACTCACCATTACCAAGTTCTGAACTGAGCAAGATCTTTCTACTAAGAAACACATACTTTGCTAAGATGGAAAGAATAGGATATAAATCTAATTTGGTCACTCACCCAATTCAAGAGCAGATTATTTGTAGCCTACAGAAAGGCAGCTTTTCCCAGTGACAGTGAAATACAGGTCTCTGTTAACATTGCAGGATCAAGTTTGAAAATTTGCTCCACATGTCTTTTTTGGAAACACAAAGTTTAGACCAGGACGGAAGAAGCAATATATTCAGGATTAACAATATCCAATTGGAAAAAAAAAAAAAAAAAAGCACACAGAGGAAAGTTTCCTTTTCCTGAACAGCAAGACCTTAACCTCTGGATTGTGCTATATAAAAGCAATGAGAAGACTTTTTCTTGGCTTTACCTTGCCTGACAGCTCCCCTCTCCCCAGTCCTCATTCAGGCTGCTGTTACTATGAGAGGAACGTTATTGGCAAAAACTAAAAACAAGCTCCTACTGCCACTGCTGAGCAAAGCAAACTGAGTTGCTTGCGGCTTCCTTAGGCATTGCTAGCCAGTGAGTTAATAAGATCTGTATGTAGTTGGTCTGGTCTTTCTTCCCAAAACAGCTGCATCTTAGGAACAAAGCACTTTGCCCTGTAACAGCCAGCTATACTAGGAACATAAATAAAGCACAGTGCCAAGCAGCATCCCAACACTTGGGTCCTAGAACTCAGCTCAGACTCACACAGTTCTCACCAATAATTCTTCTCAGAACTGCCTTATCCCATGATTGTCCTTTGGGATTTGAAGTGCAGTTTCACTTTAAACAGCATTGGATCCACTATGAATTTCCACCAATTCTTATTTCCTTCTCACTCTGTCAAACAAACATGCTTGCCATGTGTCACCAGCCCAATGATTTTATGCTTCCCATGCTAGTGCCTTGGTGGTCACCTGTCAGTACTAACCAGTCTACTATAATTTTCAGTAGATACAATACAATTTAGTTCATACAATGTGGCACAAAAATCTTTAAAACAGAACTAAATATCAAACAAAAAACAAAGGGGAATAAAAAAGGAAAAGAGAAATTAAATGGCCTGCAAAGAGTGTAAGATGATGTTTTCAGAGATTTGAAGTGTGCTTGAGAAGTGATGAGGCAGAAAGATAGCCAGGCAGGGACCATAAAGAAGGCTAGTGCACAGTATGCAATAGTGAACAGAGGGCTGGCAAGTGGAAAGAAAGGTACTCAGTAGCTGCCAACCTGTCCTCAAATCCAAAAGCCAGACAGCACAACTATCCTAATCCCATGTTATCAAGGCAGGCATAGACACTTGATAATAGGACAGATCTGGCCTCCAAGACCTAGGCTATAGAGAAAGACTTCTTTGAAAATCATATAGGCTTTCTTCTTAAGAGGTTTATCCTAATTCTATTTAGGAACTATGGCCTCTCTGACAATACTAGCATCAAAGAGCACATCAACTTCTCCAGCACCTGCATGATTAACAGCTCACTTCTGATGGATTTATTTTTGGGGAGAAATTATTTTTTTAAATCCCTTCCATATGAGCACAGACGATTTTAAATCCTCCAGATATGCCTGGGAAGCCTTACTACAAAAGAGAGGTTCTCCCTACCAGCTGACAGATACCTTGAAATGGTCATTTTCATGGTAATAAACACCAACCACAGGTTTTTAGCCCTGGGCTGGACTGGATAAACACTAATAAAGAGACAGGCAGAAATCCAATCCCAGCTTCACTGCTAGAGGAAAGCATGACAGCGGGGGGTTTGTTTTGCTTCCTTCTAGGGCATCAGTGACACACTTCAAGCTATGGTCTGCAGCTTATTTCAGTACAGAAGAATTCTCTTTGATATATTCTATGGGGATGTTTTATTTAAGATGCAACTCAACATGCTCCCTGAAGGAAGCCTTCCCGGGTCAATTGGGAAGTGAATGTTTTCAGTTACTGTTTTGCATGTGTATAAAGCTGTTAAGGATACATCTCAAAGGACTTGCTTACATTAAAGCTTCCCAACAGTCCCATGACATAGCCCTGATTACCCCTCTTACAAAAGATGAAGAAAGCCCAAGGAGACAGAGCAAGTCAGCAGCAGCTGAGGTTGGAATGAACGCAGTATCCTTGCTTCCCCCCTTCAGCCCCTAATCCAGGGTTAACCAATCCAGCACATGTGCCACAAATGGCACAAGCAGCCAGTGTGGCATGCAACAGATCACAGAAGGAGCAGGGAACAAAAAGCAGAGCAGATCAAGCAAGCAGTATAGGGTAGAGAGCAGAAAACAGATCAGCAGATTGGGCAGGGGACGGGGATCAGAGTGCCACTCAGGAAGGGTGGAGGGCTTACCATGTGGCATGCCTGCCAGAAAGGTTGATCTGCAATGCCCTAACCATTAGACAACAGTATCGTGCTTCCCTACTCTCTTACCTTATCACTGTACAACTGTTGGCCCTGTATGCTCCTCTTCCACAGTCCCTAATATCCCCATTGGAAGCAACATGCTGCATTGTTCCCACTAAGCATGTTCTGTCTCATCACCAGAGTCTTTAGCTTCAGGAGGCAAAGATCACAGTCCTTCAATGAGACAGTCCCCAACAGGATTGCCACAGGGAACATGAGATTTCAGAGCCAGGACACCTTTCTTTTCCCACCCCTCAGAAAGCTAACTGCACTTCCAAAATGTGCTCAGACATTTAGCTTATTCTTTGGCACTGGGAAGAGCTAGTCCTCCACTATTTTGTCTCTGCACACTGAAAAGCAGTGGACCACAGGAATCAGAGTTCCCGCTGTCAAACAAACCCACCCTCATGATACTGCATGAGAATGCCTTGCAACATGCTACTCACTGTTTCTAACAGCTAGAGTCTCCGTCTCCCCAAAGTGGCTGGTAGAAGATTAGTAGGGCAGACAGGTCAGTCCCCATCCCATACCCCTATCTCCACCCCCACTAGTAAATTTTCACATTGAATTTGCCAGGATTATTTTAAAAAGGGAAGAACCAACCTAAGCATAGAATGTAAAAGTAA